AGGGCGCCGGTGGCACCGTTGGACTGTCCGCACTCTACGGGCGGACACTTCACCGGTGAAGTTTCCTACCCTTGCTCAAATGTGCCAACCACCAAGTGTATCACTTTGTGCACATATGTTAGCATATTTTCACAAACATTTTCAATGGTGTTAGCACTCCACTAGATCCTAAATGCATATGTAATAAGTTAAAGCATCTAGTGGCACTTTGATAACCGCATTTCGATACGAGTTTCACCCCTCTTAATAGTACGACTATCGATCCTAAATGTGATCACACTCACTAGGTGTCTTCATCACCAAAACAAAATGGCTCCTACAATTTATACCTTTGTCTTGAGCCTTTTGTTTTTCTATTTCTTCTTTTCAAGTCCAAGCACTTGATCATCACCATGGCATCACCATCATCATGTCATGATCTTCATTTGCTTCACCACTTGGAATGTGCTACCTATCTCATGATCACTTGATAAACTAGGTTAACACTTAGGGTTTCATCAATTCACCAAAACCAAATTAAAGCTTTCAGCCGCCCCGGCCGGCGTGCTCGCCACATCGGCTCACGCGGGCAGGTTGCTGGGGGCCTGCTCGGGTCTTGCCGCGGCCAGCTCGAGGCCGCGTGGGTTCCCGTGTAGCTTGCCAGCGGGTTTTCTGTCGCCGACGTGCCCTCCCCGGTCAGGATTGACCGCCGACTGGTGCTCCTCTGCTCCTCTGTTCATAGAAGAAGAAGAAGAGAAGGTGACAAGGTATGAATACAAACTAGTATAGGGTTCTAGGTGTGAAAATAGTGACTCACGTGAACAGTAGAATACTAAATAGATAGAAACATGGGGACGTTTTGACAAGATTACCGTCACGCTTGGGCTCGTTTGCATCGGGCCGCGCGTGGGCCGGCCGTTTCCGGTGGCTGGGCCGCTCGCGCCCCTTTCCACGTTGGGCCGCGCTTGCCGTTCGCGTGGGCGCGCCCCTTCACCGCGCGCTGGGCCGGTCCGCTCGTCGCCCGCGCCTGGGCCAAACTGGTGCCGCCTGTGCTGGGCCGCGTATGCGTGCTATGCACCGGGCTACCGTGCCATTACCAAGGGCCGCTGGGCCATTTTGGTGGCCGCTGGCCCCTTTAGTGTTCTAAGCGATTGTCAATTTAGTTTTGGAAATAAACTTATAAAAATCAATATAACTTTGTGTAATTGTCCAAAAATTATGAAACCAATTTTGTTAGTCTCGTAAATCATGATATATCTGTTAGTATATTTTATTCACATAGTTTGATAATATTCTTGGAAGCTATATAATTAATTTGAGACACTTAATATTGTAAAAATATAAACTTGTAAGAATTGTTGTGATAAATCGATGATAGTGTTGACTCTAAAAATTTTATAGTAAATAACTAATATTATTAGCTGCTCACTGTAATTTTTGTAGCACCGGAATAATTAGTTTGCTAGATAGATAATGATGCCCCATTTCGAATAAAGATTAAATCGATAGAATGGAGTAAAGAAACAACTTGGGTTTCATGACTAAAACATTGGTTGAGAAGTAACGCCTTATTCGATAACATGGATACATAGACCAGTGTTAGAGCTATCTCGTTAGCTTGTGAGGCGTGATCGGATTTCTAAGCATTTCGGTTGTTGTTGATTATTTACATCTATGCATTTGCATTAATGCATATCATATAGGTACGATGATGGATCAACGGATCAATTGAAGGATGATTGGGAATCCGAAGATGGTGTAATGGAATTCTCTCTAGGAGATGATGCAATGGGCTTCCTATTCAGTTGATGGTGGATGATATGAAGATGCAGATACTAACTTTTTAGAATATATCTTACCCAGGCAAGCCCCGATGCATAACCCCTACTTTTCTACACTTTAAATTATATTTGCGCATTAAGTTTTAAGGAGTTAAATGAAACACACTTGCATATATATATATATATATATATATATATATATATATATATATATATATCTTTATCCCATAAGTCTTACTAGTATGACAGGATCGTGTAGATTGCTATGCTACAGGACTCCGATAGAAGTCGAGTGATTGTCTATCACTCGCGAGAGATAGGAAATATATTACTGTATTATTATCACTTGGAATATATAAAATGGTGGAAATGAAAAATGGTGACCGGGCAGGGATATGATTTGGGTATTGGTGGGTTAAGAGGTTGTGTCATGCGGCCAACGGGACATAGCTTGGTTACACTGCTTTCCCTGTCTGTGTCGGTTAAGGACCGGCCATTGTATTGGACGCTAGGCAAGTCACAGATTTATTATCCCGAGCACATACTTGGGTATGGGCGCTTAGAAGACTTTTACTCTCTTGTCGTGGGTTCCAACTCTTTTCGGACCGACTATCAGGGTGGTTTTTAGGTATTGGAGGTCCTTGCACCGCACCGAGTCCGGGACTCAGGGGCGCGGGCTTGGAGTCCCAGTTTGGAGGGGGACCTAGACCCCGTGCTAGAAGGGTAGTGGGTTGGTCCTGCTTGTGCCTGGGGTATAAGCGGGGCGTGTGTTTTCGGGGTACTCAGCTGGGGGCATTGATTCGTGAATCGCCGGCGTTCCGGTACGACTTGTCTAAACTCTAGCATCGTAGTAAGAACTGAAAGATGAAAGATGGTAAAAGAAAACCTGATTGCTTACCACCTGCTTGAAAGTAGCACATGCGCTTACATAGAATGGTTAGTTAATGAACTAATACACTGCTAATAAAAATCGAATATAAAGACGTACTTTTAGTAATGCTCCTGCAGATGCAATAAACCCACAAGCCAGATAGCCTTACATATCCTTGGAGTCTTCTTTTCTCCTGTCGAGTAAGTCTTGCTGAGTACAATTGAGTACTCAGGGTTTTATTTCCCCCTGTTGCAGGTGACAGGTGGATGTTAGAGCTGACCCTTGTGTGTGGATTCCTCCTGGTGGGCTCAGAGAGAATTTCTTTACGCTACGATCATAGTTTTATTTATAACTCTCACTAAATATTTTTATAAATGGAAGGTTATAATCTGTTGTCATAGCTTATATATTAATGCTTCATCATGTCAAGATTAGATATTTATTTTCGCTGTAACTCTGTTCACATGTTTATATTCCGCCGTTCAATTAAATTATTCATAACTCTGATAATATGATTACATTCCGCTGTTATAACAATAACTATTATACTCTGATGTTGCATAAAAAGTGATGTAAGAAATGGTTAAGAATGATGTAAACTTTATTATCTCATTTGTGATCCTGATGGAAAAATATGGATTTTCGGGTTCTCCCTTGGGGCGTGCCCGACGGAAATGAGTAATTTGGTGTCCTTCCTTGAGTGCTTAGTGTTTAATGGAAGACGAGCACTCCTGGGAGATATTAGATTATGCGGTTCTGCCACATAAGTTCAAAGCTCTCTTAATCCAAAATCGGATTCAAGTTGTTGATTTTGAGTTTAAACTTGCCTTTTCATACCTTTTTTTGAAGACCAGGTGAGTCAACAATGTGTTGTCCATTTGAAACATTTGAAATTGGGTCTTGTGAGTTCAATACCTTTTTACTTTGTAACATATTCTATATTATTTTTATTTTAGGAAAGCACTGTCCTATATCTCTTTCTATTAATATCTGTATATCTCTTTGAACTCATAATACCTATAGCTAGGTGTATATCTCTTTCACTTAATGATACCTATATACCTAGCTCTCATCTCTTTCAATATATTACCTATATATCATTTGATGTGAAAATGATATCTATATCTAGCTTTCTATCTATTTCAATTAGTTATATCCAAAACAATATCTTTGTCTAACTTTCTATCTTTTTCGGTTAATAATATTTCAATCAATAATACCAATTTTTTTTACTAGAGTCGTTGACTCCTAGTTGAACCTTTGCCTTTCTTAATGTTATCTATATCTCTTTTAAAGATAAACCCCACTAGCAATTTATCTTGTCATGCAAAGTGTCCACATCAGCATTCACTAGAACATTCCACTAGTATATTCAACTATCTCGTCATGCAAAAGTGTCCACATCAACATCCACTATCACATACAACTAACACATGCCATTATGTTTTCATTCAAGCTATTCACACCACATCATTTACTAACATATATTTAGTTGTCCACATCAGAGTGCTAAAAATCATCCACTAACATGTATTATGATATTTATTCAATCATATTAGTAAATATAAGTAGTATAATTTCACCAACGATTCCCTTAGCAACGCGCAGGGCGTTGTTTATTTAAATTTCAATCCCTAGTCCAAGTGATCGCGATGTGTATAGGCGTAGAGGTTATTAATTGTAGGAGATAGAAATATTGGTTTTCAAGAAGAAAGATTTGGTTATTTAAATTTCAATCCCTAGTCCAAGTGATCGCGATGTGTATAGGAGTAGAGGTTATTAATTGTAGGAGATAGAAAGATTGGTTTTCAAGAAGAAAGATTTGGTGTAAGTTATTGCAAGAGATATAAAAGAGACATTTTCAAAAAAAAAAGGAAGGAAATGAAATGAAAAGACAAAATGTCAAACAAGCCCTAAGATGCGAAATAAACCCTTCATTATATCTACTCTTGACAATTAATAAAGTCTATACCTAAGCATATCTGCGTGACATCTTTCTATCAATGACAACCGATGGCACCAGATTCCCTAATCCCTACCACGAGCACGCCTCCATTTCGCCTATAAATACGCGGTACCCTCGGGTCCACGCTCCACGAATAGCGCCGCAGAAGATCCGTGGCCGCACCACAGTGGCAGTGAGCGGTCTTCTCCCTCGGATGCTCTCTCCTCGTCACGAACTCGCCGTGAGGGAGAAGAGAGTCTCTGAGCACCGGGTCCCATCTCCGCCCTGGGCTTTCGCGCCTCGTGCTCGTGCTCCACCCGAGCCTTTTCGAACTCGCTCACCCACGCGGCCACGCGCCCCTGCCGGCGTGCCCCACCCCCCCCTCGCACGCGCCCGCCGCGGCAGCAGCACTCTCACCGACACCATGCCCCGCCTCGCCCTGTGGCCCAGGTGCAGGGAGGTGGACGTGGCGGCCCTCGCGGGGCCCGCGCCTCCCGCGCCCACCGCACTTTCACGTGGGCCCCCACCACCCCGGTGCCCCCCGGTTCAAAATCTGAATTCGTCAGGGGAGGCGAAGAAACGTCTCCAGCAGCAGAGCCTGGAGGAGGAGGAGGAGGAGAGAGGAGAAGCGGAGGCGGAGGCGGAGGCGGAAGCGGAAGCAATGCTGCGCGGCGGCGGGTCGCGTGCCCCGGCGAAGCCACGGCGCCCCCACTCCCACTCCCGACAGCGGGCACTGCCCCCGCCCACCCCGTCGCGCCGAGGTGAGCGACCACGGGCCGAGCTTGCCTCTCCGTTTCCGCATTTATTTTCCGTATCTAACCGGAGAGGCTCTTTTTGGTTTGGTTTTCTCCGTGCCGTGATTGCGCAGCGAGCGGGCCTGCCGCTTCGGCTTCCCCCGAGTCCAAGGAGCCGGCGGCGTTGGAGGCTCCGGTGGTGTCTTCCGTGGAGGAGACATCGGTGAGTAGACCACCACCACCAGTCCCCAATCTCTTCCTGTTAAAAAAAAACTTTTCAGTTTCCACCAAGGTTTTTGATTATTACAGCTGCGCCTCATATTGTAGGCACTTGTTAATTATGTTTCGTGGGTTTTGAGAAAATAGAATATTTAATTATTTATACTTGGACTAGAGTTTCTCCGAGATTCACATCTCTTGCTAGTCATCGTTTTGGCACGATTGTCTACCTCGATTCCTAGTAACTACAACTGCTACATGATTGCATCAGTTCACTTTTGAGTTCAAGCGGGGGTTCAAAAGGGCAAAGAAGGCAATGCTGCCGCAGCCGGTGGATGCGCCGAGAGGTGAAGACAATTCAAGAGAGGTACATGATGTAGCACGCTGCTGTCCACGAATGCATTTCGACGCAGTTAAATATGTCTGATTAGTGAACTGCGTGCTGAAAGCCTTGTCCGTGCTCTCTTTCTCTGTTTTGCAGGGCCTCTCCAGCAAGCCGAACACTGTTCCTGCGAAGAAAGACGTGCCGAAGCAAGTGGAGTTCACCCATTGCTCGCCTGGTATCGTTGCTAGGCTGATGGGTCTCGACACTGTACCTCACCCCAAGAAAGCTCTTGACCGGTGCCAGAGTGACACCTGGGCTAACCTGCAGCGACACTTGTCTGGAGTTGTGCGAGATGTGGACAGTGTCTCGTCTGGGGATCAGGCATGTAACGTCAGTTCTGATGAGCTGCCAGCACTGAAGGATGTTTTTGAGGTAACAGAGATGGAGAACATGGCGACGCATGAGCTGCCGCAGCCTGGAAATCAGGAGCCATATCTGACAAACATTGAGGCTGATCTGGAATTTGTCAGGCAAAAGTTCTTGGATGCCAAGCGGCTTGCCACTGGTGAAGGGAATATGAATTCGAAGGAGTTCAGCGAAGCACTTGATGTACTCCACTCCAAAAGGGATGTTTTCCTTGAAATCCTTCAGGAGAACAGGACTGCAGTGTCAGGATTCTCAGGACACATCCTTAGCCACAGTGGGTTGCAGTGCTCTTCTCATACAAGCAATGCTGCTGCTGCACAATCATTTGAGGAAGAAATCCCTTGTGGCATGGAAGGTGTGTGTGACGGGATGCATGACATACCAAAGGAGTTTGAGAAACCCATTCCTAGCATGCCGCTCAGAGAAACTTCAGTTACACCAGTGGCGCCATTGGCACCAAATGAGGGCAAGAGTAAAGGCTCATGCCGTCGCTCTCAAATCGTTGTTCTGAAGCCAAACCTTCAAAGGAAAAGTTTCACACCTGTTCTATCAAGCCAAGAAGCACCACAATATAAACAGAGGAGTGGGACAGGACATTTGAAGCCTCCACACCATAGTAAACAATTTTCTGTGCCACGAAACAATGAAGTTCTTGAAGGAGAAAGGGGTTCTGCACTACAGAAGGTTAGAAAACAAACACCTAAAAGCAGTAGCAGGAGGAGACCATCCCAGGAGGAATATAACCTTGAAGTGGATACTGAGAAGGCAAAAGTTAGTTCTACCTCTCATGATGACACCATGCCCTTTTATTCAAGCATTCATTCTGCTGGACCATCAGTAAGTAGAAAGGCCAGAAAGCACCTCTCAGAACGATGGCAAATGGCCTGCCAATCTGGTTCAGAAAATTTAATTCCTAAAGGCATAAAAACACTAGGTGAAATGCTCGGACTGTCTGATAGAGATGCACCAAGAGAAAGCTCCCACAGGGGAGGATCAGATCCAAACTTCAATCCCTATAATGTGAGGGAGGTGCCAGGCAGCCCTCTTGGCATTAGCAGTAAAGATGGGTGGAAGACAGGGATTTACTGTGAAGATGATTCAAGAGCTGGTATATCAAGGAATTTTCCCAGGTCCAAATCTCTTCCAGCCTCATCTACCACTTCTGCAAAATTGTCAGGCAGGAGGCAGTCTGCACCAACCCGTAGGTTGCCCATTCTGAAAGATATATTGAATTCACCCACTGATGAATCTGAAAATGCACATATCAGGAAGAGATCACCAATCAGAAATGCAAAACAGAAAAATGGAAAATCAACTGTCCATCTAGGAAAGGAAAATATGCTACCTGAAAAAGAGATTCATGTAACTTCGGAAAAAGCTAGGCACAGCATCTGCATTTCTGATCTTTCTCGGGCAAGCAATATACATACTGAAAAGTGCCCTGATGATGTTATCAGAACTGAGGATCAGGAACAATCTGATTCTGCTCTTAAACACGATTACACGGAAAAAACACAAGGTTTTATGGGATGCACATACCAGACACTAGCAACATCATCTCCAGAGACAAAAGAAGTTTTATCAATTCAGAATCAGGATAGCATAGAATTGAAGGTATGTTCCAACAGTGTTATCATCAAGCAGCTTTACATTTACCTTGTCAATGTTAGTTGGTCAACATGCACAAACAGGTGCTATGATTGCAAAGAACTAGAGTTAACCTCATTTCTGCCAAGAAAGAAACGCACAAGACTTGAACCTTGTCAATGTTAGTTGGTAAACATGCACAAACAGGCGTTAGGGGGTGGACGGTCAACTTATTTTGCTGTTCTAAATAAAAATTGTAATAGTTATTTATTTTTAGCTGTACAATTTCTGGATCTGCTAATCACACCATCTCAATTTCTCAAGTCATTTTAGTTTTGTTATGAAAATTTTTAGCTCCAATGGAATAATTGCATTCTGATCATTAAGATTTAACATACATCTGGTTCTAGGAGGAAAGGAAACCATCAGTGGAGATTGATGATCACGTTGGCACTCAAACAACAGAATCAGCAAGTATTGCAAGTTCTGAAAGTTGTGACTGCTCAAGTCCAACTGCTTTATCGCAACACAGTTCTGGTGAAGAGACTTATTCTGGAATTTTTAAAAGCATCAATGTTGGTATTCAAGGTTAGTATATCATAGGAACTCAAATTTCCTTCACTTAATATGGTTAATATTACTGAATGCTATTCTTGCCCTTCTAAAAAACTGCAGAACTCAGAGAGCAACTAAAGATGCTGAAGATGGAAGACCAAGATGACATTTGTGAAGACTATTCTGGTACTTTGTCAAGCGACGAGTTTGACAATATGAACATCTCAACGTATCGAGCCATGGAAGAGCGGTTATCTATGTTTAAGAATGAGGAGGACAGGGATTTCTCTTATGTACAGGACATGCTTGCTAGCGTGTGTGACTTGCCAGATCACCTAGAAGATTGGCAAGTGAGCTCAGATGTGTTCCTGTGTCTTGAAAACAAGTATAACAAGCTGGTTCTGTGGTCGAAATCAGACAGGAAACTTCTGTTTGATCTTGTCAACTCCATCTTGGCTGACATGACCATTCCAGACAAAGGTTTGCATGCAAAGATCATGATGAAGTGCTGGCCTGAAATAGATCACGGACAGTTAGCTGAAAATGTCTGGCAAATGGTGCAGAAGCAAAGTAACAATGGACACTTCTTTTTGGAGGATGTTCAGCCTTTGCCATTGGACGATCGTTCTGAGTTGGAACTGGTCGGAATGAATATTGCCAGGATGATCCATGATGACATCATAAGAGATTGTATCATCCAGTTCATGTCGCAGGAGAACTACCTTGTTACCAACTAATGTTTAGGGCTGTAGTGGTTAAGCTAGACTGTTAGGCAGATGAGTCACATAACCTTCTGCAAATCACTGGTTTGCGAAATGGTTTCTACTATATAAGGTGTGGTAGGCTGGTGGTACCATTTGATTGGCATGGATGTGTAACCTTGTATAATGTATGGACCTATGGTTAAAATACATCTCGTCTTGTTGCAGTGCCTCCTTTTCAAGCAATGCATACTTTGGCTGCATTGCAAATGGATCATGGTGCAAGCAGTGTTGCGATTGCGATAGTGATAACTTCAGCATGTTGCATGGAAGGGATCTTGGATTGTGATCTGTATTCAGACTTTGACAAGGAATTGATCATGGGTATGGAACCAAATGCTTGTTGGATTATCTCTCTTGATACTCTGTTTCGTTGCAGGTTATGTGTGGTGCAGCGCTTTCAGTTGCGATGCTGTCTAGTGGATATTCTTTTAGTATTTTGTTCTCTGGGAGGAGCTCTTTCAAGCAACTCTTGCCCTGAGTTGCTTCAATTGTTCCTTTGGTCAGTTCTGACCAATTAACAAGCTGCTAATTGTCATTACGCATTACATAATATGCTAGATGACCATGACGGAATGAAAGGAGCAGTTGTGTTGATTGCCTTGCCGGAGACGAGGAATTTTCAGGAGTGAGGCACGTGATCTTCTTCCAAGCTACGCCGTGTTTAAATACAGGGCGTAAAGTTTTGGGGTGTCATATTAGGTGTTGTATGGGGTGTTTGGATACTAATAAAAAAATAAATTACAGAATCCATCAGTAATCCGCGAGACGAATTTATTAAGTCTAATTAATCCATCATTATCACTTGTGTTACTGTAGCACCACATTGTCAAATTATGGACTAATTAGGCTTAAAAGATTCGTCTCGCAAACTGTGCAATTAGTTATTTTTTAATCTATATTTAATACTCCATATATATGTCAAACATTCGATGGGATATTGAGTAAATTTTAGGGGAGGAACTAAACAAGTCTTTAGGTGAGTTTCTGATAGGGACTTTGCAGTGCTTGGAATGTTGGGGGGCCCTCCTGTGTAGCCTTGCGGTTGACTTGACCGTGACCAAGGTATAGGGCCTGTTCGCTGGTTGGTGCTGGTGTTGGTTTGGACTGGCTGGTGCTTGTTTTTTTATGAGAGGAAAATACTGTTGGCTGACTAGTTTGGGCTGGCTGAAACCAACGAACAGGCTGATAGACTGCATGCGTTGGAATCTTGGGAAACTTCACTGATAGTCCTGCTAGTAGCCTAGTAGGCACTAACTATTATACCAGCGCTGCATGGGCCAGCTGGTGGTTGACTTGACTTGACGGAGACTAGAACTAACTGCTGTCCTAATCAAGATTCAAGAATCCTCCCCGTCCATGGAGTTCACACCCTGTGCATTGTGCAACCTTTTTCTCTTTCTTCCTATATATGCACTTCTTCTCCTTACAGTAGGGCATCAGCATACTCCTTGCCATCACAAGACAAACCACAGCTAGACTCCTTCCATCTGCAACGACTGTGGCTTTCTCTTCTCCATGCCCGATGCCTCCTCTCCTCTACACACTACTCGGAGGCCTCCTGCTCTTATCTTCCCTGTAGCACGCTCCTTTGCATTCCGTCATCGTTGCCGCGGCGGCGAATGGCGACACTCTCGCGGCCGGCCAGACACTTGCTGCCGGTGACAAGGTCGTCTCAAGAAACGACAAGTTTGCGCTCGGCTTCTTCCAGTTCCAGCCACCAGAACCGTCATCCAGCATCGGTAAGTCCACTGATGTCACCACTGTTAGCCCACAGGATTACCGGCTTAGATGAGTCACTACTCACCAGTCTTGCCGACCACGGTCGAGCACGACAGAGGCTGTCTGACCACACATACAGTACAAGCACCAGTGTTAGCCAGAGCCCTGTATAGGAGATGGTAAAACTGAACTCTCTTTGTTGAGTTGCAGTGGCAAACTATATATACAACTCTATCCATCTAGTCCTAGTACAACTGCACTACTGTAACAGTGACTAGATAACACAGCAGGACTGACTTCTACGCCTGTCCCTGCATGTGGCTACAGTCCGGCAGATGAGCCGTTCGGCGCCTGCCTCTACAACGGCTACAGTATCACAGTAGGGAGCCTTTTCGGTGTCGCATTCCCTTGCTGTGTATTCACACAGGGAAGCAGTAGATTATCTAATAATTCTTCCCTTAATCATACTGCTATCCCATATACCCCCTCCATGCCGATTATCTCCTTCAGCTCCGTGAGTCGAAGACGTCCGAGCAGCTTGGTGAGGACGTCCGCGAGTTGTCGACCAGTTTCGACGAACTCGATGACGATGTGCCCTCCATTGACACAGTCCCTGAGGAAGTGGATGACGACCACGTGTTTGCTCCGGTTATGCAGAACCGGATTCTTCGCGAGGGCGATGGCGGGCTGGTTGTCCACCATCAGTGCTGGTGGGTGAGCTTCCGTACAGGTCAGCTAGCCCAGCAGTTGGCGCAGCCATACAACTTGGCACGCCGCTGTGGCCGCCGCTACGTACTCTGCCTCGCACGTAGATAGCGTCACCACCTTCTGTTTCAATGACAACCATGAAATTGGGGCCGACCCAAGGAAGACGAGCACGCCAGAGGTGCTCCGTTGTCCGTCGATGTCCCCCGCCATGTCTACATCGCTGAACACAGTGAGCTACAGCCTACTCCCACCGGTCTTGGGAAAGATGACCCCCTGATCCACCGTCCCTTTGACGTAGCGCAGTAGCTGCTTCACCGCAGCCCAGTGATCCTCTCTAGGATCCTCTATGAAGCGACTGACGTAGCCGACGGCGAATGCAGTGTCCGGCCTCGTGTGGACTAGGTAGCGCAGACCGTCGACGATGCTCCGGTAGAGTGTTGCATCCACCTTCGTCGTGGTGCTGGCATTCGTCAGCTTCAGCCTCTCCTCTATCGGAGTCACGCATGGCTTGCACTCAGCCATGCCGCTCTGCTCCAACAGCTTCGACGCATACGTGCTCTGACCGAGCGTGAGTTCCTCCTTTCTCTGTCTCACCTCGATGCCGAGGTAGTAGGAGAGTGCGCCGAGATCGTTCATTCAAAAAACGAGCCGCCATCTCACGCTTAAAGTTGTTGATGTCCTCCGTGCGCTCGCCGGTGACGATCAAGTCGTCTACATACACGCCGACGACGAGCTCCTCGACGACGAGCTTCTCCTTCCCCCGTCGCCGTGTGTAGAGCGCGTGCTCGGTTGTGCACCGTTGAAACCCAAGCTCGCCCAGCGTGGCATCAAGCTTGGCGTTCCATGCTCGTGGGGCCTGCCGCAGCCCGTAGAGCGCCTTGCGCAGTCGGAGCACCCTGTGCTCCTCTCCCTTGACGGCGAAACCTGGAGGTTGCCTGACGAAGACCGTCTCCGCCAGCTCGCCGTTGAGGAAGGCCGATTTAACGTCCAAGTGATGGACGTGACAGTCCTTTGCTATTGCCAAGGCTAGTACCAAACGAACGGACTCCATGCACGCTACTGGCGCAAAGACTTACTTGAAGTCGATGCCCTCATGCTGAACAAAGCCTCGGGCGACGAGGCACACCTTGTGCTTGACATCCACTTCAGGCTGATCGAACGGCATCCTGGAGGTGGATCGACGAGCTCCCAAGTCTTGTTTTCCTCGATCGCCTTCATCTCCTCCAGCATCGCTCGTCGCCAGTTGCCATCGTGCTCCGCCAGCGCGAACGTGGGTGGTTCCTCTACACTGACGAGCAACAGCTCTTGATCATTGAGTAGCCAACCAGCCAGGCCTGAGGGCCCTGTGCCACCGACGATGTCGTCCAGCCTGCAGAAACGCACCTCCTCACCTTCATGGAAGGCATCCATGAACTCAGTGATGTCACTTGGAGGTAAGACGAACTCGATCGACATCGATGGAGTTCTCTATCCCGCCTGAGTGCTCGGCATACGTCCTAGAGTGGTCACCACCACTGCAGAACCTCCCGGCATCACTCCTGGCGTGCTCGGCATCCCTCCAGGAGTGCTCGGCACTCCTCCCTGAGTGCTCGACATCCCTCCTGAAGTGCTCGGCACTGCCCTAGGAGTGCTCGGCTCTGCCGCTGGAGTGCTCAGTACCTCTTCCCTAGCGTCTCCACTACCGTGGATGACCAGGCGCTCGACGATGAAGGTGCTGGTGAAGCCACCAACTTCCCCCGTGCTCGGACTGCTCTAGTCCCAAGCCGCCTTCTCGTCGAACACGACGTCGCACGAGACACGTACCTTGTTTCCGCGTGGGTTGTAGAGCTGGTACGCGTTGGTACCCTCCGTGTAGCCCAGGAACACCATCGATGTGCTCCTGTCCTCCAGCTTGGTGAGGATCAGCTTCGTCTTCTTGACGTGGCCAATGCAGCCGAGTGTCCGGAGGAAGGACACGCTCGGCTTACGCCCATACCAAGCTTCAAATGGTGTCTTGCTCGTCAGGGCCTTGGTCTGAGCACGCTTTAGGATGAACACCACCGTGGTTACCGCCTCACCCTAGAACCTTGCCGGCATGCCTTTGGCCTTCATCATGGATCGAGCCATGCCGACCACCGTCTGGTTCCGCCTCTCCACCATGCCATTTTGTTGTGGTGAGTACGGCGCGGTGTGGTGTCGTACCACACCCTGATCCGTGCAGTACGCAACGAACTCCACCGAAGTGAATTCGACGCCACGATCAGTCCTCAACACGCGGAGCTTCTTGCCGCTCTCAGCCTCCGCGCGCATCTTGAACTTCTTGATTGCCGCCGCCGCTTCGTCCTTGCTCGTCAGGAGTTGCAGCCACATGTAGCGACTGCAATCATCCACGATGAGGAGGAAGTACCACCGACCACCGTTTATAGCTGGCGTGATCGGTCCACAGAGGTCGCCGTAGATGAGCTCGAGAGCGTCCTTCGCGCGATACTTGGCCGCCTTTGGGAATGGTAGCCTTCTCTGCTTCCCAGCCAGGCAGCTGTCACACAGCTCGCCTCTGTGCTTGATAT